CCCAATGGCTTCATGAAGATATGAAAAAGAAGAATGAAGAGACTGGAGTCCTAAGACAAAAGCAAGGGTCTCAGACCAGCCCACTCACCCCCAACACCAACTAGAACAATGGAGAACAGTGTAAAGGCGCCAATCCTTGATAGCCTAAGCCAGGATATTGTAGTCAACAGTATTAAAGGGCACAAAGTGATCAAGAAAAGTTAGGGTGGATGCATCATCCCATTCCAACCCCAAAAGAGGTCATCAGTATGTGACCAAAACTGTCTCAATACTATATTCTGGTCTGAAAATGGTTTGGATAATCTGTTAGTTTGGACCAGTAGTGGTATTCTACTGGTTCTGCCCGGTTCAGCTGAACCAGTAGCTCATGATCAGCTGCTGGCTCTCCCACCCACCCCGTGTGATGACCCAGGGTGGGATACAAAATAAACACAGTGACAAAAAACAGGTGAAGCCCCTTTTATGCCTTCACTTTGCTTCCAAGCTCAAAATATCCTTGACTGGAGACAAAAAAACTCCCACACAAGCAGTTACAAGAAGGAGGAAATGCCGTTTAAATTATAAAGAGTAAAAAACAACACAAACCAGGCAAGATAAGGGCTGGAAGATGTCCACAGATATCAGAATACACATTGGGAAGGACACCAAACTCAGAGAGAAACAATAAACTAGAGATATTTCCAAGCTTTGTTTCCAGCACTCGCCCATACACATGTTCGTCTTCTTATCCAGTTGTCACAGTTGCAGCCCATGAAGAGGATCAAGGCCCTCTCCTCCTCAGTAGTCCATGTCTCTCCCTTATCCTCTCCGCCCTGCGTGCCATAGGATGGAGAGAAGATGGGCCTGGGTCCTCCTCTGACTGTCCAGCCAGCCTCTGCCCTTCCCCAGCCTCCTCCACAATCTCCAGAGCCACACTTTCACTCCCTGTCAGCTGTTCCTCCTCTCCCTCAGAGTCAGTCTCCACCAGGGGCATGACACCCCGGCTCTATACTGACCTTTATTTCCTGCTTTTCAACCTCAGCTGCTTTGCGCTGCACAGCCGATTGCCGTGCGTCAGCTACTGAAGACACAGGGAGAGTGGATTGCAGGACAAGGTTAGTAGGAAACCCTCTGCGTGCAAAGCACACCCATCAAGCCACACCCACTACTGGTTTGGATGTGGAGGCCAATCACTTTCTCTATAACCTTCCAGAATAGTGTGATGACTCCCTTGGACGCTCCCTTAGATATCTCTCCAGATGTCAGCTTGGAGGAAGATGAACCAGTTCCAGGCATATCTTGAGGGAAATTGGTCAATGGCTCCAAGCAGCCGCCTGAGAGGGATTTGGCTCAAACACATTTGCAGCAGGACAGCCCTAAAGGTTTAGGTGGAAAAAGCATACAGCTGCAGCCAGTCAGTAATGAGGAAGAGGAACTGCCTTCTGCACTTGATCCAAGAACATATAGGGCAGAGAAAAGGCGGGAGCAGAGAAGGTCAGCCGGATTATTCGTGAGGAGAAAGCCTCGCCCTTCTTAATGGGCTGAACCAGAAGCTGGCTATTTAGCACAGCATACAGATAGAGGTGATGGTGGGAATGTGTTCATTTCCTAGCTGTGTTTTTTCTGATCGTTGTGACTCTTGCCTTGGTTTGGATTGATTTGTGCCTTGGCTTGGATTGTGCTCTTGTGAACTCTTGCCTCGTGAACCCTCTTGTACAGTACTGTGGATTTAATTTTGCCTGGTGGGTTTATTTTGATTGGGAAACTTTCAAGTGCTTTGTGGACTCATTGGCCATTGCTCTATTGACTAGCATTGGTCTGCTTGTGGCTGGAAACTTAATTGGGAGAATTCTGGGTTTTTGGTAAAGGGAGTTGTGTGGGAATAGTAATAAATCCACTAAAGCGTAGTTGTGTGTGTGAGAGAGAGAGAGAGGGAGAGAGGAAGAGAGGGAGGGAGCAGGACAGCATAAATAGGGGCAGGGACCGGAGGAAGAAGGAGTAGAGCACTGTTTCTTTCAGAACAGTGGAACTACCCCTCTTTTAGCTGTATTTGCTATAACTTGGAGAAACATCCTTATCCAATGAAATTACAGCAGTGTTTCTGGAATGCATGTAAAATTCCGGCATTTAATTTGCCATCTTTGCCAGGACTTTCCAGAGAGTTCCGTGTTGCTTTCCATTTGTAACTTCTTCTCCTACTACTTCTTTCATACATTTTGCTTTCAGTAAAAGGTTTCTTATACAGAACTACAGAACAATTGAGTAATGCCCTTCTCTGAAGGCACTGAATGTGCCCTTTTCATCACTTTTATAATACCACACTACTTCTCTTCCTCATAAACATCCCCCCCCCAAAGATAGAGGGAGAATCAGAATGATTTCACATGTATAGCTACTTTATCCATTCATGCATTCATATTCATCTGCTCATTTAACTGTCTCACTTCCTCCACTCCCGGCACCCTGCCACCATTTCATTGTCATTCTCTTTTCGTTTGGCTTTCAGTCACCATTTATTTTTTGTCCTATCAGAAGAGGTTAAATTGAATAGTAAGAACCAGTTTGGCCTAATGGTTAAAGCACCAGGTAAGAAAGCAGGAGACCATGAGTTCAAGTCCTGCCTTAGCCATAAAAGCCAACTTTGGGCCAGTTACTCTGTCTCAGCCCAACCCATGTCACAGGGTTGTGGCTGTGAGGAGAGTAGAAGAGAAAGGGATATATTTGCTGCCTTGAATTATTCATTAAAAGAATAATAAAGTGGGGTAAAAATAAATAAAATGTTCATGTGATATTTTTTCTAACTTAAAGACCCCTAAATTAGTTATTGGAGTAGGAATTTGTTATCTACTTTAAACTTCAAAGTAACTTAAATTTGTGCAAGATATTTTGTTTGGGCCAAGTTGCTCTAGAACAGGCAATGCAAGGTTTAAAAAGTAAGGAAGCAGGCTAATCACATCTTAACCAATCAAAAAAACCAAAAACCGTTCACCAAAATTACATTTTTTGGTAACTTGTATGTTTTGGATGATGCAAATACAGAAATGGCTGCTGTATCTTAAATAGAAATGCCACCATATTTTACTGAGAAAGACAATGATCCCCTGAATATTTTCCTTGCTTGTTTTTCATCTCATGATTGGTGATCAACAACTCTTGCTGTTCTCCTTTTGTGTGGTTCTTCTTATCAATGGATCAAACATGAACTACCCAGAATTTGAATTATAGGACCTCTTCAGGCAGAAGACTGTCCTGTGAAAGTTAGGGTACATTAAGTAGTATGTTGATCTGCCTGTCCTTCTCTGCTGGGGAAAAACTTCCCATCAGCATTCTTGTTTTTAAGTTTCAAGAAACAGAAATGTGTTATGCTACCAGGTGAGATTTAGTATGACTACTCTGGTTCATTGACAAAATTTTATGACAAAAATGTGGGGTTTTGTTTTTTTGTAATCCTCCCATTTCCCCTGCTTTTGTCTTTTATTCTATATTTCACAACTATTTTAAAGGATAAAGAGGAATAGCTTTAAAAAAAAACCCCAACCAACAACCCCCTGCTTAATGGCACTCAGAACTCCTGATGCTCCTATTTCTAATGAGGGTTTACTTGGAATGCTGACATTTTCACATTTTTCTTGGTTGAGTTGAAATTTGTCTGAATCTAACCAGAGTGTCAGGAACAGAGATACAGGCTGAAGCTGATATAAGTTCTGGCAGTGCAAAAAGGAACTTTCTTCACAAAATAGGTACAGATATCCCTTTCCTTGGGAAATCTAATGAAATTCTTTCTGGTAAGCCATGCTGTGTTTTTGTCAACTCATTTCAGGGGGTGTGCAACCCTGATACAGGGGTGGGATTCTACCGGTTTGCACCTATTCGCTAGAACCAGTTGTTAACATTCTAAGCAGTTCAGAGAACCGGTTGTTAGAAGAAATTACTGGCCTAATCCTGTAAGGAAGGCAGGAAGGAAACATTCTGGTATTGCTTACAGAAACTGCCTCTCCATTAACCTTTATTACATTTTTGGCAGGACTAGACTTCCTGTCTCAGGAACATCTCTGGAGTTTTTTCCCCTCCTTTGCTGGTAGTCTGCTTGTGTCGAGTGACCATTCAAAGTTACAATGGCACTGAAAAAAATGACTTATGACCATTTTTCACACTCACGACTGTTGCAGCATCCCCACAGTCATGAGAGGCCAGGCGAAGTGATGCGTGCCTCAATGTGAGTGATATTGAGTTGACCACACCCAGCCAATAATATGACCACCAAGCCACATCCACCCAGTCACATGACCAGCAAGCCATGCCCACCACCTAAGCCACGCCCACAGAACCGGTTGTTAAAAAATTTGAATTCTCCCCCCCCCCCGCCCTGATATATGATCTACCTGAAGTTCTTATCTTCTAGGAACCATGAATACATTTAGAAAACAAATGATGTGCATAAAGATCCAATATAATTGGTATACTGTGTTAGACATAATTCCTTTCTATAACAGTATTAGAAACTGTGATTAGGATGTGGTAGGTTACTGTCCTGGCCAATAAATCTATTATTAGCTATTTTATTATCTAGTATCAGGAGCCCTGGTGGCACTGTGGTTAGAATGCAGTATTGTATGCTAATTCTGCCCACTGCCAGGAGTTCAATCCTAACCAGCTCACAGTTGACTCAGCGTTCCATCCTTCCGAGGTTGGTAAAATGAAGACCCAGATTATTGGGGGCAATAGGCTGACTCTGTAAACCACTTAGAGAGAGCTATAAAGCACTATAAAGCGGTATATAAGTGCTATTGCTATGTACTACTTATCTTGGCTCCAAATCACACTGATTTTTGGTAAATTTTTGATTCCTAATGGTCTCAAGTTTTCAACAGGAATGGTATTCCTACCACCACTACCACCACTATTAACCAATTAGCAATTGAATTTTAAAAAATAACTTCTGGAAAAAAATACCATGGTTTTTTTTTAAAAAAAAAATGCATCAAGCAAATAATCATTACAAACATTCGAAATGTTGATACCTGCTATTGTCTGTGCCACCGGCTCAGTGACTATGCTGGGAGCAGTGCTCGGCTGCTGCTGGCTAGAGCTAACTTCCGGCTCTGTGCTAACAGAAGGAGACAATGCTACATCACTGGAAATTTGATTTGGGCCAGGTTGGAGGAGATCTTCTGAGGCCGACAGCTCTTCTTGCCCAGGAAGCTGCAAGGCTGATAAAGGAATGCTGATAGGTTTGCCAGAATTAGAAGTGCTGGCAGGCACCTGGAGGGCCACCTGAGGATTTGCGGTCGAGATGTTACCAGGCCTTCTGCTTGAGGATGGCAGATTGAGTTTGGGAGGTTTCTGGGTCACTGGCCTGGATGTAACTTGTGAAGAGGCTGAAACATTCTGTAAATCAAAGTCAGCACTGAGGGAAGGAGAGGATTGAGAACTTAACTTAGATGCCACAGGATAGGAGGTTCCACCTTTAGGTTTTGACATGTGTGTCAAGGACAATGCAGGGCCATCAATGCCACCGGTGATTTCGGCATTAGCCACAATATAATAATCCTCGGGGAGTTCTTGCTTTATTTTTTTGGTTAAAACAACATCATTGCTGCTTCCATCAATGACCTGAGACTGAGAGTCCAAATGCAGTGAAGAAGACGGGCCGGGCCTTTTAAGGGAATTTATCTGAGACCTTTGACGATGAGGTTCAAAATCACTATCTTCGTCGGTCACCGAGGACTCACAGACCATGTCAAAAAGATTAGATTCATCTTCATATTCCTCCACTGTTTCGTCCAATTCAGAAGGTTCACTACAGTAGGAGAAATCACAGGAATCTCTGGTTCTGTTACAGTCCAACTTTGCTTTTCCTGACCTCCCCGGATAGCGTTCCACTGGGCTGGCTTGTGGGTCTGAAGGCATGCCGATTATGCTGGGGCTATCAGAGTTGAAACTTCTGTTATCCTGGAAACAAACTCTTTCCTGTGAGCCAGCCCTACAAGTAGCTGTCAGCGGCCAGTGATAGGCATGGCCTGCACTGCAGCCCCACATAGCTGTCAGGTTGCCATGGGAACCCTCTGAAAGTAGGTGTTTTAAATTTGGAATGAGGCTGCAAATGGTACCATGACTGTGGGCCCAACTGACCAGCTTGGAAAGGTTTTCGGAAGATGTATGGAGACAGTCTTCCATGGTGCATCACTCAATAACTTTGTTCCTTGGAAGAAAAAGAAAGAAAAAAAAAGAACCGCATTAGAACCAAAGTCTGTACTTAAATTAGAATACATATTCCACAAAATACGGGTGAGTCCTAGACGTACAACAGTTCTTTTAGTGACCCTTTGAAGTTACAATGGTACTGAAAAAGTGACCTATGACCATTTTTCACACTTATGACCACTGCAACCTCCCCATGGTCACATGATCAAAAATTCAGGCACTTGGCAACTGACTCATATTTATGACGGTTGCAGTGTGCCGGGATCATGAGATCATCTTTTGTAACCTTCTGGCAAGCAAACTCAATGGAGAAGCCAGATTCATTTAGCAACTCTTGTTACTATCTTAACAAGGTTAAGTTGTTAAGTGATCCAGTTAACAACGGCGACAAGAAAGATCGTAAAATGGGACAAAACTCACTTAACAAATGTTTCACTTAGCAAAAGAAATTTTGGGCTCAATCATAATTCGAGGACTACCTATATGAATAATTTAATTGATGGAAGATATTTCCCTACATCCCCTGAATATCATAAGCAAAGACAGAATGATAAATAAATGACCAATCATTTCAAACGACTTCACAGAGGTTATAGAAGATCAGTTTTAGACTGTAGAACATTTTGAAGTAACAAATATATAATTTTCTTAATTTTTGTCACATAAGAATGCTATCATTGGAGTGGTGCAGTGGTCTAGGGGTGCCTCATAATGAGGAGGCTGTGAATTCAATTCTGGGTAGCGGCAGATATTTCTCTCTCTGGGCACAATGAGAAAATATCTGCAGCGAACTTTACATTGGTGACAGGAAGGTCATCTGACCAGTAAACACTCATCTCCATTCTGTTGTCCCGACTCCACCCTGATGCAAGGGATTATGGGATCATTAAAAGACCCCACAACATTGATATCATTAGTTTATTTTTTAAAAAAAGTTTTTTATTTTAATAACAAAAACAACAAATAAAACCTTCTTTCAATTATACAGTGTGTCACCTGGGTACATATATCTTGTGCACATAATATTTGTATACATTTCTTGTTGAATTTACATTCATATTATCATCTAATCAACATTATATATCCTATTATATCATTATTACAATGTCATTAGGTTTTTTTATTTCAGTTTCCAGCTACTCTTGAAAGCAAATCCCAACTCTTACTAAATTATATTTATGTTATAATTTATTCAAAATGATCTTTTACAGTATATCATTATTACAGTATCCTTTAATTTCTTACTCTACTTTCTAACCATCCATAAAATAAATCCCAACTCTTATAATACTCCTTCTCTTCTTGCTAATGTTAACCTACTCATTTCTGCACATTCTATTATTTTCTTAATCACCTCCTCCTCCATCGGAATTTTCTCATTTTTCCAATTTTGAGCAAATACAATCCTAGCTGCTGTTAATACATGAATAATCAAATATGTTATTTTGTTGCTACAGTTTTCAGGCAAAATCCCCAATAAAGATATCTCAGGCTTTAAATCTATATGTTGTTTTGTATTTTAGTCCAATATCTTTTAGCTTCTGCCCATGTCCACCACATATGGTAGTATGATCCAGGTACCTGATAACACTTCCAACATTTCGCTGATTTGTACTATCATTAGTTCTTTTGAAGGGGGAATCTATTGTATGGCTAGGAACTTAGCTTTTTTTTTGTTTTTGCATGACTGAAAAGAACAGAATGAATGAAGAATCAAGATAATAATCACTTATAGGAAGGAAAAAGCACCCTAATATCTGCCAGACTAGTCCTTTTTCATGCCATAACTGAGATGGAGATCTAATTGATAGAGACAAGGTATTCTTTATAGCTGCACCTCAATTATTGAGCACTCTGCCTTAGGACAGTAAGCCAAAGTCTGATAGTTTTAAGAATTTCCTAGAGCTTATCTGCACTGTAACTGACTAGCAATTGTTTCTGGAGGAAAGAAATGAACTGAATGTCATGCCATAACTGTCACATTCTCAGTGTTCAGGAAATGTTTTTGTGCTCCATGTCCATGTTCTATTTTATGTCTCCTTAAGCATTCCTGTCTGTCTCAGACAGCCTCTTTTAGTATCTTGAAAGCTAAGCCGGCAGATCATTGGAAATTTTAAAGAAATAGAAATGCCCTTTCAACTGAGTCAGTGTTTACTATTTCAGAGCTATTCTCATGGCAGATGTAACAGCAAAAAGGTTATACCTCTTGCCTTAAAAACCAAAAGTTTACTAGTTCAAAGCCTAGCAGAACTTTTTTTTTATGATTCTGGTTATTATTTTTCTTTCTAGAGTTCCCAATGTTCTCTGGGCTTTAAAAAAAATAAGTCCAGTAGCGCACTATTAAATATTTTCCCAGTCAGGTCCCAAATAAACCCAGTAATATATGGGCTATTGCTAAGAATGAATCCCTACCATATCAGGTGACCAAATAAATATATTATTATTAAACAAATTGGTTGCCCATCTATCAAACTAACTCTGGTGAACAAAGAAAATAACTTAATTCACCAACAACTAAAAGAAAGCTTATAACGAAATCAAAATAGCAACCGGTCAAACACATCCATATCCATGTCAGAGCCCCATTAATATACTGGCCCCAAAGCATGGAGGAATAACCAGGTCTTCATGGCCTTCTGGAAAGCCAAAATGGCAAGGGCTGTCTGTATCTCAGGGAAAGGCTATTCCACAAGACAAATGTCATGACAGATAAGGCATTTTTCATAGGGCCAATAGAGTCAAGGGCATATTAACTCCATCTAATATGATGTGACATTCAGAAACCATTGGTGAAAGATGACCTATCGCACAAATAACCAAACCCATGGTTTGTAGGGCTTTAAAAATGAGAATCGGTGCCTTGAATTTCATCTAGAACCTACCAAGAGCCAGTTCAATTCACATAACAGCAATATCATGTGGTCATACAGTAAAGCAAGGCTTGGGAACTATGGCCCTTTTATGACTGGGGGACTTCAACTTCCAGAATTCCTGATCCAGCCATACTGGATCAGAAATTTGGGAGCTGAAGTCCACAAGTCATAAAGGAGGTATAGTTCCCCACCTCTGCAGTAAAGCATCCAATAGTGCACATGCTATTATTTTCTGGATCAAATAAAGCTTCTAAATGCTCTGCTGAGCAGGCATATTGCACATTAGCAATAGTTTGGTCAGGAGGTGAGGCATGAGGAGTTGTAAGCAGTTTCTCATGATATTGGAATGAATGCAACTATTGTACAAGATTTAATTGTGCAAAGGGCTTCATGGCTATGGCTTCCCACCTGCCTTCTTGAGCCATGAGTACAGAAAGACTTCAAGATAACACAACAATAGTGCCTGGGAGAGAGTTACTCCATCCAGAGTTAACAACCACTAGATTCAGGGGATGGAAGAGATGGTGCCTATGGAAGGACAGCTGGGGTGGTGGACTACAGTGAAAAGGCAGATTCTCAGGAAGGAGGGAGCAAATTCCAGAAAAGAGAAGGGACACGAACCCGGATTGGGATAGGAGACAGAAGAAAAGAGCAAGAACAGCCTTTCCCTAGAATCTCCCAGAGTGTATTTGTGAGGCTGGGAATAATAAGGGTTTATCCTGGCAAGATTTTGTCTGCTATGGGTAAACAAATAAAGAACTGAACTCTAAATGAATTGTTACATGTCATGCTTATGCCTAGCCTGGTGTGGGGCCCCAAAACCCAGAACTACTGAGTCTTTTCAGAGCTAAGCCCTACCCAGACCCACATAGCCTCAAGACACCTTGATGGCATCACTAGGGCAGCCTCAGGGAGAAATGAATATCTAAATATCATCAGTATACTCGGGATATTTAAACCCATCCTGCCAGATGACTTTGTCTAGTAGTTTCATTTAGATGTTAAAGAGGATCAGGGGGAGAAAAACAGTATGTCTGCTTTAGATTGTTTTAACTTATTGTTAGCAAATATAGATCTATAAAACATTTCCCAAAGACTGAACCATCCAACTTCAACTGAAAGAAATTTGCCAGATGGCTATAGAATGAACCCTGCGACCTCCACAGGAATCTTAAGTATACACAAAGCTTTTTTCATATACACCCATCATAATAAGATAAGCTCATTAAACAAAAAGATAATCACTTTGGTTTGTAGGAATGTCATAGTCCATTATCACAAGTCTGTGGGATTGATCTCTTGTATCTCCTCATGAAAAACTCCTAAGAGCTATTTCTACCAGTCATTATTCATATATTGAGCTAGATGGACTAATAATCAGATTTATTATAATGCAGCTTCAGACATCTATCATTATTAGCTTGCTGAAATAGTCTCTTTTGAAGCTCCCCTCCCCTTTTCCATTTGCCAGACTCCTGGCTACATATTATTTAATATACTCTGCTTTTGTGAAAATTCATTCCTCTTCCAGTTCATCTACATTGACTATTGTATACAGAGTAAGAACTATTTGCTTTACCTATGTCTGCTTTGTTTCTATTTATACAGGTACTCCTCGGCTTATGATCATAATTGAGCCCAAAATATATGTTGCTAAGGGATACATTTGTTAACTGAATTTTGCCCCATTTTACGACCTTTCTTGCCACAGTTATTAAGTGAATCACTGCAGTTGTTCAGCTAATAACTTGGGTGTTAAGTGAATCTGGCTTCCCCATTGACTTTGCTTGTCAGAAGGTCACAAAAGCTGATCACATGACCCTGGGACATTCCAACTGTCATAAATATGAGTCAGTTGCCATGGCTAGTTAATCATGTGACCATGGGGATGCCAAAATAGTCAGAAATGTGAAAAACAGTCATGTCACTTTTTTCACTGCCGTTGTAACTTTGAACGGTCACTAAATGAACTTTTGTAAGTCTAAGACTACCTGTACCATCCAAGCCTCATTGCAGATCAGTGTTTTAAGTTAAAATGCGTTAAATGCGTTCTCAGAAAGAAACTTTCTATTTCTAGGACTCTTACTAAGAAACTCTTTAAGAATATAGATTCCCCAGCAGTTAA